CATAGTGGCCCAAGCCAAACACAGAAACACACAGGAATTCCTAGAGGCATGGGTCTCCACCCATATTTCAATCAACAAACATATAGAATTGGACCCCATATATAAACCCATACAAATCAAAACCGGAAATGACGTACCCCCCAAACTGACCGGACAGTATAAATTCCAAGTGGAGTAGAATAACATTACTCCGTCGGAGGCTCCACTGATGATGTCACCTAGCGTGGCGATGAAACGTCTGAACAAAAACAAGCTAGCTCGGCGAGCAAGTCAACAACCTTATCTCAAACACTATATGATTCTTTCTGTCTCCTGCATGGTGATAAGTGTACCCAAATACTGCTCCAACCGATCCATGTGGTCTGACAGAAGCTGCAATTGGACACACTTCCTGCAGTTGTAGTCATCAGGGATATTTGAACTGCCTCTGATATCCCACATTCTGCAGGAGAAACATACTCCCCTGGTGACTGCCATTTTTACCCCCTTGCAACTATTTAATTAAAAATAAATTTGTTAAATTAATTTACAGCTTACTGGATGGACCCTCATGTTAGATTCTCACTAAAGAATACTAAATGCACTATTCAGTAAACAACAGTCTAGGTACTATTCTAAATCCCAGTACTGTCCTACTGTACCACTAGCCTAAGTCCCACTACTCTCAAATCTTATGGGTATGAAAAGGTTAATGGAAATTGAAGGTAAGAAAAATAAATCACCTGACCACTACTTACCAGTTGGGAGTCTTTCTGTTCAAAACGTCACATTTGAGCTTGCACCGTGACAGAGTGTAGCTCCCATGATACTGTCCATGTCATGGGTCAAGGTCAATGCCCCGTGCTAAAGTTTTTACCTGCTCCAACTGCTGGTGTCTTCCTCCAGCCTCTCTGGTTCTGGTTCTGGTTCCTGGCTGCTGATCAGGGTAAGGCTGCTGAAGAGGATAAAGTCTGATACAAAGTATTTATTCAACTCCTCTGCCGTTTCCTGGTTTTCCCATTTTTGTTTCCCTAACCTTGTGCTCACAGGATCCTGTGTTCACTTTGGCTCCTTTCTTCCTTTTTATATATTGAAAGAAGCTCTTGCTGTCTGTTTTGCCATTACTTGCAAGTTTATTTTTTAAGTTTGCCTTCTACCTCTTTATTAATTTCTTGGCTGTCTTTTATTTAAAACTTGCCCCATCCTCTAATCCACTAACCTTTGCCGAATTGTATGTTTTATCTTCAATTTGATGATGAACTTCCCTGGTTAACCATGGTTGGCTTATCCCCTTCCGAAATCCTTCGTCCGCACTGAGATATGTCTTTACTGTGAGCCATGGACTATTTTCTTAAATGCCAATCCTCAACGGTCTTTACTGCTGAACTCCTTTCCCAGTCCACTCCAGCCAGCTGTGCCCTCATTCCTTTGTAATTATCCTTATTTGAGTTTAGCACAGTTGTTTCTGACACAAGTTCCTCCCTCTCAAACTGCTGAATTCTGCCATGTTATGGTCACTGTTTCTAAGAGGATCTTTTATTCTGGCATCATTATTAAACCTGCCTCATTACACATCACCAGATCCAAAATAGTATTAGGATTAAGGAATTTTTTTTAAACAGTGAACTAGACAAAATTTTTTTTTATTTATGAAGGCAATTATTAACCTGTTGTAGATTCCAGTTGCACTGCTTTCCATTTCCAAAAACTAATTTGTGTCTTCGTCTTAGCATGAGTGCCTGTAATGTGAACTGCAATCCAAATGGTCTGAGCTATGTTGAAGCCTTTGGATGCTGGAGGAGACCAGGGCTCACTAATACCAGCCAGTGTCTCTGGTTCATTGGTTTTGGTCGTCTCAGCTTTTGAAGAGCAGCTGGATTCTCAGGTGAATGTGAACTTTGATTTTCCACTGTAGGTTTCACATTCATTGGGAAATTGAGCTGTTGTGTAAAACAGTCTTTATTTACAATGGAACAATCAGAGAACGAGACCTTCAACTCTTTCATCTGAGATTTTGCTTTGAGACAACCATTCCAAATATCCACTTGAGGGTCTATAACTGGCCTTGAGTGAAAATACTCTGTTGTGTCTGTTACATCCTTTAAAAAGATGATGATTTATTTTCTAGAGCAAGGCGCCACAATGCAGACAGAGGTGATGGCAACTCCATCAGCAGCAGTTGCCCCGTCACAATGAGGTGCAACACCTGGAGCAAGACACAGCATTTTCTCCAGAATGGATACGGTGTATACATGTGAAGATCAGTTTGGTTGGATATGCTGAAATGTAGTCATTCGCAAGTTTAATGTGGTCAAAAGAATCAGCAATTCTGATCTTTAGTGGAGGTGATTCTGGTGTCAGTATCGTAAGAGGTGATGTATGCAATGGAAAGTGACAATGCTACACAGACCAATGTAAAGCTCATTCTATACAGTTACGCTATTATTGCTAATGCATATACACCATCCATGTTCTCGATTTGAAAAGCATCTGACATCTAATGAAACTACCTACGTTCCATTGCAAATAATACCAAACTGTCATCATTAATTTGAGTGAGCATGCCCCTATTTTGTTCAATGCTTTGGTGACTTTTGCTATTTTTCATATTGTGTTGATTGTGAAATATCTTGTGCCAATTTTGGGGGAAATTTGATGTTGAGAAGACAGTAACTGCCCGTGCAACTTTTTACTTTGTTCTTGCTTTACAATCAGCAGTTTACATACTAAATAATTCTGCCTTTAGCCCTGGCTCATTGTATAGCGTGGTAATATTGTCAGGTTGGGCTATGGCTAAGCCAAAAGTTTGAAATTCTAAGTTCTATCTTTGTGAGACACCATACTTCAAGACTTTGTCTTCCATTTTCATTCAGAACGTTCCAAAATCATTGTGTTGCAATGTGAGATTAGGAGTAAGGCAAAGCAGAAGGACAGCTGACCAGAGAGAATTGGCCCAGGACAGGAAGATGTGCAAGTGGGCCCATGACAGGAGCTTTAAATCTGAGATTTCAGTGTCAGCCCCCTGTGAAAAGAAAGTTTTTGGCTTAAAGGCACCTCATTCCAGTCCTGTTTTCGAGCCTTTTCTGACTTTGGGAAAGAGCTGGATTTACTTTGCTGTTGATTAGCTGGATATATTAGTGTTTCACTTTCAGTTAAACCATTTCAGTAGCAAGGGTTCTAGACTGTTAGTCATGCCACTGAGACCTGCTGGCAGATGACAGCATTTCTTCTTTGTGGTGTCTGCTTATTTGTTTTATAGTTTCATCCTCCTAAGGATGAAGAAAACCTTAAAATGGGATTGTATTGTTGCGACTTCACCCAAAAGCAGCCTATGGGGAGATTTGCCTGGGCCTTCACCTAGACATTGCACCTGAGAGCACTGAACTCTGGACAGTCACTAAGCTAGCTGAGAGTTCAGAGCTAGGAAATCTCCCCTCCTATTTTAGGTTTTTTTTAAAATCCAGGCATCTTTTGTAACCCATCTCCTTAAAAATGGTGATATTTCAAACAATGGAGAATGCATCACAGTTGCTGATGTCACAATGATTCTTTGTGTCCTGAGTATTGTGTTGGTTGATAAGGGTTGGTATGTCTTGTAGCTGGTTGAATTAGTGATAGTTATCATGATGAGATTTGCAGTTTCCAAATGAAATAGGAGGCCAATTATACTGGATGATGGGCCCTTTATGGCTTTCTGGTCCAGACACCATTTCATTGATTGCTGTGTAGAGAGGGGTCCCAAGGGATATCATATTGCTGTCAAGAAAGTTAACTTCCCAATGAATTTGTTTAGAAGAGAACTTTTGAGTAAAAGCTCATGCATGATTCAAATTCAGTTTTTATATTGAAAGTAAAATGCAATGATTTACATGAAGTTTTGGGTCTTTCACTCCCCTAAAAAGAATGATAGAAGCCACTATCCATTTGGATATTTGGGTCCCTTTGTTTCATAATATTTTGTTAAAATGCTGACCATTTAGATACCAAGAAGAAGTTGGTCACATTGTCCTGCCCCATAACCCTGCAGAATAGCAAAATTATTGCAGATCAAATATATAATTTCTCCACTCATGAGATTGGGAAGATTTAATGATTTAACCTTCTACTGTTTAACCCAGAAATGTATCAAACTTAAAGATTTCTTTCTTGAGTTTATTTCTAAAACAACAATTCAAAGTTTTAACCTAGTAAAGAGATTATTAGCAGAGTGACATGATTGTTATTGGGTTGTAGACATAGAAATGCATCCTGCTGTCTTCATCCCAAACACAGACATGTCCCTAGATGCAGACGGACATGCACTGGCATGCACACTGGCACACCCATTTGCAGGAACAAATATATCCACGCAAACTGTTTAAAATGAATTATCATTTTAGGTTAGAGGATTGCTTGCTGACTAGCCACAGTTCACACGTACAGTTACCATAGATCACAGTGTACAAGTCAATCTTTGAAGTCTCTCATTCCTTCCAAAAATGGTGCCAACTTGTACGTCAGGGATAAAATGTGAACAGCTGGCATTGGTGCAGATGCTTGTTGTTTTAAAATGAGAAAAAATTTCAAATGAAATCATTGTGACATTTTTTATTGAATTAATTACTTGCACTAGGTTACCTTCAGCCACATTCAATATGTTTTTTTTAAAAAAAGCATTAAATTGATTGTCTCCAGTATCACTGCGAGGTGATCATCATTTTGGTCCGAATCACTTCAGCTATGGCTTTATCATAAGGATCCTCCTCTGGAACAGTGTAGCGTTTTTGGTTTTTGAATCATCTGCACCAGAATTCATTTTGCTTGCCATCCATTGAATTGCATATTCTGCAACTTTTGAAAGATCTGATGACAGTTTGTGCATTAATAGCATCCAACAATTTGATGACAAAACCACACACAGCATCAAGTGGGATAACATGCCTGTTTCCACTCTTTGTAGAGGTTTCTTTTTCTCCATCCATCCACTTATTCCAATTGCAAAAACATGATTTTTCACTGGTTTGTTGAGGCACGCATCCAAAGATTGGCCTCCAGACATTTGATCCCAGTATAATTACAACCTGGGTGTTAATTCTTCACAGCTGTCTCTTAACCTTATTGGATTTATGTGATCTGAGCATGACTTGCACCAAAAAGCTATTATTTACATAGGCTGCCAGGATGTGTGCTCCAACCTTATCAAGCCATAGCTCTACTTCATCTGACCATAGTCACAGACATGCACAAAAAGTCCTGCAGAAACTTGACTTTGGCATGATTTACATTTGAAGTTTACCATAGCCTGTAATTTTATTCAATTTGCCACGCAGCCTAGTACCACCATCAATCTTTTTCTCATGTCTTGTAGTTTTTACTAGAATTGTTTTTGCACTATTTTACTCCATAGTTCAGTTGTTGGGCATATTGCAATGCGTAAGCATTTCATTTTTATTTCATAAAGTGGCTACACCAACAGCTGTTGCTCTGAATCTTTGCTGCACTGTGTTTGATTTGGTCTTTGCTGGACTCAGTTTGATTTAGCCCACTTAAGCGCACATATATGTGTGCCAGCAACATGGATTCAATTCCCGCACCAGCTGAGGTTACTTCTTAACCCCTCCCTTTGCCTGAGGCATGGTGACCCTCAGATGAAACCATCACCAGTCCTATCTCTTGAATGAGAGAGTAGCCCTATGGTCTGGTAAGCCTGGAGCAATTTTACCTTTTATACGCATTACATTTTTGATGATGATGTAGTCATTCTGAGAATTCAAAAGTGTGTATCGATACATGCTTCTCCACGCCAGGCCATTGGCTGTCCCCATTGTCGGGTGCGTTTAGCCTTAGACATCTTCCTCAGGGCGGATTCTTCCTCCTTCCACTTCTGCACCAGTTCTTTCACTTCGCAAATTCTGTCATTACAGCATAGTTATTCGACAAGTTAGCAATTTTTTGCCAGAGGACCCATTTCTGTTCTTCAGTCACCATGTGCAGTCTAGTCTTTGTGAGCACATTTTCAACTTAAGTGTATGATCTTGGCGACACGGTCCATGTCGACCTCTTGTTCCCATGTGTTATGAGGTGAGTAAAATGTAATTCTGAGGTGAAAAATAAAAGCCAACTCCTAATGCGAGAACAACAATTTTTAGCAGAAAAGAGGATCAACTCATATGCCAAGTATAGGCCTAAACAAGTATTTGGCTCTGGGAAAATGGGGTTGTCTTCTACCCTGTGATCTATGGTACTTGAAATTTATTGAATTCTTAATGTTACAATTGAACTGCTACAATTGCTGCGTCATATCAATTCTGTCCAGTCTTTGCTAAAATCAATGGCATGATTCAAACAATTAACACAGTGGAGAACCGCTGCTTGTATGCTATAACCTGGAATTTGAAACACCAGATTTCGAGTAGCCAGTAGTTGCTCAGGTGCTAGGTGAGGAACAAAGGTCACCTAAGGAATCAGCTCCTCATTGTTTGTCCAGTCATTTCCACAGTACAATGTGTCTAATCTTTGTCACTGGGAGAATTCAGCCTCCTCTCTCCCTCATGTTTTATTAGGGCAAGTTGTAGCTGTTCTGGATAGTCACTAATACTAATGCTGTCATTGCTAAATTAGTGCTAATAGTTTGTTTAGTGAAAGCTCTCATGTCTTCCATCTGTTCTCAAATCCTAAAATTACATTTGAAGACGTAGAAGAAAATATTAGATGACACCACAATGTTTGCTCACCATTTAAGTATGGCCGGGGAATGCTGGGACTAGGAGCAAGTTGACAGAGAGGAGGATGACTATATTAGGAGTTGATAAAACAGTCTTCAGTGACTGCATGTCAAAAAAGAATGTCAAGATTTTTCTTGATATTTTAAGCTGCCCACTTAGAAACAAGTTTACACTCCCAGCCCACTTACATACAGCATCTCATCTTCTTACGCTTTCTGAATAGTTCCTGCAAACATTGTAAAATACTTGCAAAAAAACAAAAAGTCCAGTAACTTCAACAAAGAAGAAAATGAGAGCCCAGCTCTGCCAATTTTGAGCTCTTTATTTCTGTCGCTGATGGGGATAGCAATCTGTCAGATTCAGCAAACTGAGATTAAATTAACAGGTAACGGAACACATTTCATTCTTACCTGTATTGCATAAGGATAGTCTTATTCTTTTGTTTATGCTCATTTTTTTCCAGTCCTAGAAGCTTACAATGTTAAGTAAGCTTAGTTACACTAAACATGACCAATGCCCGTCACATGAAGTGAGGTTCTATTCTCCTGAGCACTGGATGGTTTCCCCAGTTAACACCAGCTGATGGTGACCTGCTCTTCAGTGCCAAATCCACCTTTTTTTTTGCATATTCATCTCATCTTCCCACCAATTTAATATGCGAGGCGACAGATGGCTGAATCATGTAGATTGACAGTGTACTGACTGTGCCACTGCTGTGTGCTCCCTGGAGTAGCGGTCATCATTTCTGGACATAAGAGCCAATACATCCAACCTAGTATGAGGAGGGCAGTGGAGTAGTTTATGTGCATCATTCATTTGGGTGTGATTTGAGATTTTACCACCAGGCTAAGAACAGTTGCACATGAATTGATGCCAGTTTGATTTTCTTTCCTATGAATTAAGGCGAGTGTAAAACTGAGTGCTGAGTCACCTAAACCCCATCCTTCCCGTCTGTCTTTGGTTAGACAGTAAAATCCTCTCGTTCCTAAACTCAACTGCTTTGTTTTTACCAAGTTGGTGTAAAAGTGTTGTCCTGTAAAGTTAGTTTTTAGCTGTCAGCAGAGAAGCGATTCCTGCCAGGAAGATGAGACCTTGCCTCCATTCAAACAGGAGAGCTCTGGGGCCTTTCTTGAACAAAACTGGATAGTGTGGCTTACTGTACCCAGAAATTACAATCAGTGTCTAATAGCTGCTATAGGAACTGAACCACACCATTGAACGAGGTCCTGAATGATTCAGCTGAGCATAAAGGACAAAATGGTGATCAGGATTGAAGCACAAGTGGAATAGGAAGTGCCACGCTTTGAAATCGAAGCCCAGTCTCGCTGGCTGCATGGAGTTCAGACTGGCCCTGATAATCTGATATGGCAGGTGTTATGAGCAACATTATGTGGGAATTGCATGGGCAGGGGGGACTATGTATACATCTTGCTTAAAATGTGGATTTTTATTGCATATTTGCTCATTTCTGTGTTAATATTTTCCTATCTTAAGTTGGGAATGCCTATCTGTGTACTATGCTGGTGACCTACATCTGTGCTGTACATTCCCTGTTCTCAGCACACTAAAAGTTAGATTTTTTTAATAGAGTTTGAAGCTTATTTTTTGAAACAAGCCAGTGTTTTTGATTGCTCAGATGAATTATTACTGCCATGGAATCATCCAGACTCACTCCCATTTTATTACACTAGAAGCTTCCTGCTACATTCAAATAATTCATGATACGTTCTGAAAATTGCAGTATTACCTGAAACTGTTGTCAGCCTTTCCTGAAATTCATTTCAATGGAGCATGAAGGAATCCATTTTTTTAAAACCATGAAAATAAATGAACTGGAAATTCTAGTGACCCATCATATGTACACGAGTGTATCTGTTACAATAATTTGAGGTCTTCCTATTTAATGGGTAGTGAGGAATTACCTTTGAAACCTACCTTCTGGCTCATATTGCCCCAAGAAAGTTTGATTTATTTTCATGTGTTACAACAGTCAGCTGTTCATGCAGAGTATCTTAAAAGTAAAACAAATTCTCAGCAAGCCCTTAAAAATGGACAGTTCTTTTTACAAATTGATATTTCAATTGTAGTGTTTTGTCAAACTGTATTTAGTCTGTAACTCTGTAGTCTATATAGCTTTCGCTATCATGGGAAACTGCTAAGAAATAAATTGTACTTAAATATCAGAGAAGTACTATAATTATTTTCTGGTCTGTCACCAAAGTTTCAAGTAACATCAAGTTTGATCTTTTATTGTTTTCTTCACTTGCTATCCCATTTATGAACCTTTTACTGCAGCTTCAAAGCTTTGCTAACCTTGTTATAAAGGTGAATATGCTTGTTTTTGATTTTGAGGATGTTAATTCCATTGAATCTATCCATCTCACCATCCCATTTCTATATTCTGACTTGTTGCAAAGATTTATTTCCTGTATTTAAGGCAAACTTGGTCATTACTAAACTTGTTTCAAAATTGTAACTACTATCACAGTTACGTGAGTGTGACAGATGGTTTTACTTATAAACAATAAGAGGTAGAAAAATGAAAGGATAATATACCAAACTTCCAATGTCAAGGGTGCCTGTAGGGGAGTTGATTTATAATCAATAAATTGAGGAGAAAAAGTTGATGCAAAGCCTAATAGAAGGTTTATGATTGTTATCCTTAATGATCACTTCTCATTTTTAGTTAAGCATCTGTTTAATCGATCAAGTTGGTTACTGTCATTCCAGCACAGCTTTTGTGGAAATCATTTATGATCTATGTGGACCATCAGCTTTTGGAAAATTTCCTTACAGAGACAAATCTCTAGAATTTAAATCTGTCAAAACTGAAGCCTCATGTCACTATCACTATCATGTGACATTCTAATAAAATACAACAAAAACTGTGCTGAAAAAACACAGCAGGTCTGTCAAGAGGCCAGTGACAGTTCTGATAAAGGGTCATGGGAGTTGAAATGTCACCCGTTTCTGTCTCTGCAGATGCTGTCAGACCTGTTGAGTTTCTCCAGTACCCCTTTTTTGTTTCAGAACTCCAGTATCTGTAGTTCTGTGTTTAGTCATAAACTAGAAGTCTTGATTTACAATAGATCAGTTATGACTTCAGGAATTTAGATATTTTTCTTTAGAATAAAATTGTAAAAAGGTAAAACTATGAAGGAATGGAATTGGGTACACAGCCACTATTTGCAGTGTTGTCTGACTGCAGGTATCTCAAAGTACTTACAGCCATCTAAGTGTTTTTGAAGTGTAGTCAGAGGCAGTGGAACTAGTTTGTGACATACAGGGTTATGGGGAAGAAAAGGGGGAATAGTGGGATTAATGTAGAGCTATGATGAGAGTAGGGCAGTGGGATTAGTCTGGGATTGATACAGGAAGAGTGGAACAGTGCTGTGGGGAAAGAGGGGACAATGGAGTTAGTTGGGCATTGAAAAAGGACTATGGTGAGAAAGCAGGGCAGTGGGGGGGGGGGAAAGAAAAGAGAAGAGGGAGAAAGAAAGAGGGGGTAATGACTCACATCTAAACTTTCCCCTCACTTTCTTAAAAAAAAAAGCAGCACAGGAACAGCCCTTCAGCCCTCCAAGCCTGCGCCGATCCAGATCCTCTATCTGGACCTGTCGCCTATTTTGCAAGGATCTGTATCCCTCTGCTCCCTGCCCATTCATGTATCTGTCTAGATACATCTTAAATGATGCTATTGTGCCCGCCTCTGCTGGCAATGCATTCCAGGCACCCACCACCCTCTGAGTAGAGAGCTTTCCACGCATATCTCCCTTAAACTTTTCCCTTCTCGCCTTGAAATTGTGACCCCTAGTAATGGAGTCCCCCACTCTTGGGTGGGGGAGGGGAGGGGCAGCTTCTTGCTATCCACCCTGTCTATAGCTCATGATTTTGTAGACTTCAAAATCAGGTTCCCCACCCCCACCCCCACCCCCACCCCCAAAACCTCTGCCTTTAAGTGTAAATAATCCTAATCCTAATCTACTCAACTTCTCTTCATAGCTAGCACCCTCCATACCAGGCAACATCTTGGTGAGCCTCCTCTGCACCCTCTCTAAAGCATCTTAACCTATGCCTGCTAGTATTTAACATTTCCACTCTGGGAAAAGATGGCTCCAACTGCGCACACCTTAATTTTATATATTTTCCCATCACTCATGATTTCACGTGAATGCTCTTTGACAAACTCAAATTAAAGGGGAGGTTGGCCAAGTTTAAAACACATCATGTGGCATTTTAAATGCAAGTGCCTTTTAGAAGGCAAGAAACATTAACTTCAATCTTCACTGAATTAGGGAAGACACCGTCACTTAAACTTAGTCCTGAAAGTATTTTTAAAAATAGTTTAACATTTGTCTGGCTTTCCTTAAATGAATTAAGCTTGTCAAAGTGAATTTTGCATTTATCCTAGATTGGATTAAAAAAGTTATTGCAATAAAAAATGGCTTTATGTTGGCTAATGCTGCATTTCCCCTTGCTTTGTCATCACAAGGTTGCAGTCTGTCAACATTATCAGAACTCCAGCCTCCCAAAAAGCATTGCTTCTCCCATTATAGAAACCCAGAGAGGCTGAAAGTGTGTGTGTATCCGTGAAGCACTGGAAATGCCCCTTTTTGCAAAGCCCACACTAAACAAAGCCATAAAAAGTCATCAACATTCAAGAAAATGTGATCTGGGAGTTATTAATGTCAAATAAGACAAGCTTAAAAAGGGTGAAGAATGTTGGCACTGTGCAAGATTCTTAAAACAGCAGACTGGCTCACTTTCTTTTAACCCCAAATGGAGTGAAGTACTGAAATTCAATGACCAAACAGCAAATTCATTGTGAGGTTTTATTATACGAAAGCAATGAAATACAGAGGATTGGTGTGCAGGTACGCAATCAAAGCAGAAGCCAATGAACTTCAAGCTTCAGAGACATCAGATCCCTCTCACTCCAAATCAGCCTTTCTGCAAGATTATTTCAGGGTCTCAACTAGAACCACTTGCTGCATTTATTCCTACTGGAGAAGATCAGAAGCCTGCAGTGTATCGAGGTATAACATCTCACCCTCTTGATACCTACTCAGCTCCTATCACCCTCCAGATGGGCTCAATGCACTTGATTCCCAATTCTCAGACCTGCGTGCGTGTTGATAAATATAAAACAGAATTCTTTTAGAAAGGGAGTTCCTAAGTAGGTTGAAAAAAAGGCACTTAAAATGCAAGTACAGAGAGCCATCAGCCGCTCATCACCATTCGGACCAGCTCTGTGAAGAGAGAGAGAAAAGTTCATCATTCTGCTATGACAAAGAATTCAAGAAAGGTTCCGATTAAAGTTTAAGTTTAGAATAAACCAACTCAGTCCCAGGAAAACAAACTATATGCAAAAGCACAGTTTCCATAAAACAGACAGCAAAGTGAGTAACATGCTAAATTGTATCATCCCAATTTACCAAAGTTACTGTGAAAACCAAACTTATAGGTATATTCTTAATTAGAATTGACTACCTACTCAAAAAAAGACAGCAAACAGGTCACTGGCTCAAATATAGATGGTAATCGGAACCTTTCAAAACCGCTCCCCCCCAACTTTCCTCCTCTCCTCCCACCCCTGTAGAATTCTATTGAGCACAGTGGGTCCGAAGTCAGTTTTCCAGTTTGCACTAACTACAGAAAAGGAGCAGAAAAACAATGGCAGATCTCAGTCGGGCTGGCAAAGCCTAGTCAGACAAAAGAATGCAGGCATGTCAATTCACAGCAACACATTAGATACCAAAGGAAGACCATTTGTGTCAAAAGGATCCCACAGTCAGCTGGCAGAAGCAGTTCAAGCTCAAGTTTGTTGTAATGTGCTATAAAGTCAGTTCTACTCAATCACTGGAAAATGCTGAAGCTGAGCAAAGAGGAAATGGATTCCCCCTCACTCACAAAAGGGGATCAGCAGCATCAGCTATCACTTACTCCTCAAGAGAAAAAAAGTTAGTGTCTAATGCGAGTCAAAAATGAGAAAGCTATTGGCACAATAATTCTATCAAAATAGAAAGCAGGTGGTAGATGGTAAAAGGCAAAACATGGATTTTCTCATTCTTCAAAGAGAATTTGGGCATTGCTGGCAAGGCCAGCATTTGTTGACCATCCCCAATTGCTCTTGAATAGACCAGTGAAGTGGCCTAGTCCTTAAAAAAAAAAATCAGTTGTTATGGTCACTAAACAGATAGTCAATGTTTAGATTTATTCATGGAATTTAAAATTCCACCAGCAGCCATGGTGGGGTTTAAAAGCATGTCCCCAGACCATAAGCTTGGCTCTCTGGATGACTAGTCTAGTGACATTACCACTGCCACAAACTCACCCTAAAATTAGACCACCTAGTAGGTCTGCACAAAGTGGTCACAATTGACATGGTGATAACATGGCGTAGAGCTGGATGAACACAGCAGGCCAAGCAGCAAAGCTGACGTTTTGGGTCAAGACCCTTCTTCAGAAAATTGAAATGGTTTTCCTTTAGTTGGCAGAAGTTCAAGTATAGTTAAGAACCAGAGATGATGCCCTCCCATCCCTTCAAGTCATACCTAGAACAAGCCACATGCAGAACATGCCAAAAGGAAAGAAAACAAGTCAAAAATTGGCAGGGAAATAAAGGATTTGTCAATGTGGCGTACCATGGGCTGCCATTCACCCAGACATGATGTGCCTGACAAAAGCTGTCAAAAAGGAAGAAAAATGTTAAACTAGGTGTTTAAAAAGTAGCAAATGCATTTTGAATCAATAAAAGGAGTCATCCCAAGAAAGGCAAGGAATTTGGACAGTTTTAAAACAGGTTGTAGTTCCTTGTAGAATTTTTTTTTTTTTTTTTTTTTTGAGGCTCTTAACTTCATATTTAAGTGGAGGAGAACTGGAGGAAGAGATAGATAGATTCTTGGACAACCTATTGCAGTGGTTGGTCAAACTTGGAGAATAATATCCCAGTTGTGCTCTTAGCTGAAATACTGAGAGAATTTGCTGATATCAACATGAGGCAGTGATGGAAACCAGCAACAGTTTCATTCCAGGCTTCTTCCACAACAGGATGATAGCAGTGATACAATTTTGTCTACTGTCCATTGGCTAGGTGTGTTCTGGGTGGATGAAGGAAGAATGACCAAATTGCCTCCCCAATTAAAAAACAAAAACCAACCAATCGTCAAGAACTACTTATTTTCCCCCGACTTGAGGTTTTCCAGAGGTCCGCTCGCTGTTTTCTCTCTAGTTTCCACATAGAGATAGTCTGAACCCTTTGCTACATGGCATCACCTAGACATCTCAGCAGCATCAACTCAATGTCTGTTGAAATGCAAAGTCTACATACAGGAGATAGAGGCAAACCCATACTGTGTAGCTACTTTCCACAGGTCACTGAAGCAACATTAGAACATTCTATTTGGATTAGTTATCAAAACTGCAGGTAAATATTTAGTATATTGAGCTTTGAGCATTCAGACTCTTACCCTCATAGTTGATGCAGCCATTAGCATCCTCATGGCCAGCCAGCAAAGTCTCCACTTCCTCCTCAGTCATTTTTTCACCTAAACAACACAGACAATGATTAAAAAGGCAGACAACATTAAACTGTCCTAAAAACCAAAAGCAGCTGGAAAGCACACCTAGCCAGCAAAGAACATCTGGCAAGTATGCAGCAGCCCATACACGTGATCATACCACAGGCAACATGAACCCACACGCACACCTAAAGCTAAAGGACTGTTATAAGAGCTGACCAATGGAGTTTTCAAACAGAGGGCCACAACAACACAGGTAATTCCAGTGTGGAACTTCAATGTCTAAAAGGGATGCCCAGTAATAATGCAGAGATGGCAACAGCACAGGCAAGGGTTTGGACAGCAGATGGACAAAATAACAGTGTACGATCTTGCTAATGGGAAAAAGCCAGGTGAGAATGCAAGCTGCAATTACATGCAGCAACACTTCCCTGGAAGTGATGAGAAAGGGAATTAATTGGGTATGTTCACCCTAGAGAGAAACCAACACCCTTCTCACTATGTCCACAATTAAGGGCTGGGTAAGATGATTCACAGACAACTTTCTCTACTTGCCAGCAATTAATGGCCAACCTAGCAGGCAGGAAAGGTGGCTCTCTTTCCCCTCCAAGAGGGAAGATTGACCAGTGGACTTTAGGCTCCAGAAGCTGCCAGCAGCTATCCAGATCACTAGTGATCAGTTCAAATGTTCCCCCCCCCACCCCAAAAAGGCCCTGTCTAATTAGCCTGTTCGGAGATAGAACAGTACAGGCCCTTTGGCCCACGATGTTGTGCTGAACTTTTACCCTAATCCTAAGGTCTAACCTCCACCCCTACCTTATACTATCATCCATATGTCTATCTAAATAGCCACTTAAATGCCCCAAATGAGGCTGACTCCACTACCCTCTCCAGCAATGCATTCCATGCCCCGACCAGAGTAAAGAACCTACCTCTGACGTCTCCAATATCTACCTCCACTCACTTTAAAACTATGCCCCCTCACAAAAGCTACCTCCACCCTAGGAAAAAGTCTCTGGCTGTCTACTCTATCTATACCTCTGATCATTTTGTACACCTCTATCAAGTCACCTCTCATCCTTCGTCATTCTAAAGAGAAAAGCCCAAGCGCTCTCAACCTTTCTGCACAAGGCCTTCCCTCCATTCCTGGCAAGCAGAATTGGACACAATACTCCAGATGTGGCCAAACCAAGCTTTTGTATAGCTGGAGTTCAACTTCACAGCTCTGGAACTCAATCCGTCTTAATAAAAGCCAACACACCATACGCCTTCTTAACAACTATCCACCTGGGTGGCAGCTTTCAGGGAACTGTGGACATGAACCCCAAGATCCCTCTGCTCCTCCACACTGCCAAGAATCTTTCCGTTAACCCTGTATTCTGCTTTCAAAATCTGTCCTTCCAAAAATGAGTCACCCCAGACTTTTCAGGGTTAAACTCCATCTGCCACTTCTCAGCCCAACTCTACATCCTATCAATGTCCCTCTAACCTAGAACAGCCCTCTGCACTATGCGCAACTCTACCCACCTTTGTATCATCCATGATCTGACTAATCCACCCTGCCACTCCTTCATCCAAATCATTTACAAAAGTCTCAAATAGAAGAGGACCCAGAACAGATCCTTGTGGTACACCACTCATAACTGAGCACCATATTGAATATTTTCTGTCCACTACCACCCTTTGGATTCAGAATTGTCTTCAGGGTCAGCCAATCTGCCACACTTCCCCCTATCCCACACCTCCTTACCTTCTGCATGAGCCTACCATGCGGAACCTTAATCAAATGCCTTACTTAAATCCATGTATACTACATCCACTGCTCTACCTTCAGCCACGTGTTTGGTCACCTCTTCAAAGAATTCAATAAGGCTTGGAGGCATGATATACTGCTAACAAATTCACACTGTCACAAGTCAAACTGTGCCTATCCAAGTGATCATAAATCCTATCTGAGCCCTTTCCAATAACTTGCCCACCACTGACGCAAGACTAACTGGCCTGTAATTTCCAGGGTTATCCCTATTCCTTTTTTGAACAAGGGAATGACATTTGCCACTCTCCAATCTTCCGGCACTATACCCATGGACAGGGAGGATGAAAAGATCATCGCCAAAGGCCTTGTGATCTCTTCCCTCAGAATCCTTGGGTAAATCCCATCAGGCCCAGGGGACTTACCTATCTTCACATTCCTCAAAATTCCTAGTACATCTTCCTTACTAACATCCACCTCCTCCAGCCTGTTTCATACTGTCCTCCCATACAACTGGATCCCTCTCAGTTGTGAATAGCGAAGAAAAGTATTCATTAAGGACCTCTCATCTCTTCAGGCTCAGTGCACAAATTCCCTTTACAATCCTTGATTGACCAGAGAAAGGGTAGGGCCATTCTCTTATTCCTCACATACATGTAAAAAGCCTTGGAGTTTTCCTTGATCCTATTTGCCAAGGTTTGCTCATGCCCCCTTATAGCCCTAAGCTCTTTCTTGAGCTCATTCCTGGATAACTTGTATCCCTCTAGAGCCTTTTCAGATCCTCATTTCCTAAACCTTATACAAGCATCCTTCTTCCTCTTAACCAGTTGTTTGACTTCGAGAGCCAAGGCTCCCTCACTCAACCGCATCTTCCCTGCCTGCTAGGGACAAACATAATTGAGCACACACAGTATGCATTCCTTAAACACAATCTTCACATCTATAGTGCTCTTCCTTGACAGCATCTGTTCCCATTTTATGTTACCCAGTTCTTGCCTAACAGAATTGTAGTTACCCTTCCCCCAAATTATAAACCTTACCCTGCTTTATGTACCTATCCTTTTCCATAACTATTGTAAAAGTAAGAGTTATGATCGCTACTGCCAAAAGTGCTCTCCTACCAACAGGTCTAACACATGGCCCGGTTCATTGCCAAGCACCAAATCCAAAGTGGCCTCTCCTTGTGTTGGTCTATCTACATACTGTGTCAGGAATCCTTCCTGAACGTACTAGACAAAATCCGCTCTATTTAAACTAAAAAGTATTTGGAAAGTTGAAGTCACCCATGACTACAACCCTGTGACTTCTGTACCATTCTAGTATCTGCCTCCCAATCCACTCCTCTGCAACTACTAGGGAGGCTGTTAAAAAACCCACGAACAAAGTGACTGCTGTTTTCTTGTTCCTGACCTCCACCCAAATGGACTGTAGACATATCATTCTTGAACTGCTTTTCAGTAGCTGCTATACTAGCCCTGACTAGCAATGCCACTCCGCCGCCTCTTACCACCCTCCCTATTTCTTTTAGGGCATTTAAATCCCAGAACTTCCAACAACCATTCTTGTCCGAGTTACCCAAGTTTCTGTAATGGCCACAATATCATAGTTCCAAGTACTGACCAATGCTTTAAGTTCATCCACCTTATTTCTGATACTTCAAGCCATCCGTGTCCACAATTACACTCCATCAACTGCATTTCTTTGTTAACAATAGATGCTACTACACACCTCAGTAGGTTGGACCTGAACCCAGGACACTACCCCTGCACCACAAGAGGGCATACAAAAGCCTAGGATAGGGCATGTATCTCAACCTTGCTCACCTGTCAGCTCCAAGTGTGTGGATTGACAGGTCATTCAGTGCAACAGCTTACAGGTGGGGGTTGTGTGTTAGTCACTATATTTCCCCATCCCCCCAAAACACAAATTGTGACAATTCCACCCAGCCAGGCAAATAGAGAGGCAAGTTCAGTAGGGGAACAATATGGTAGTAAAATGGGCAACTGCAATTTCTTCATTTTGGCATCAGAAAATTTAACTACAGTATTACACAGTTTACTATTCATATGCAAAGAAGAATATAATCACATTGGAGGTGGTACATTAAAAGGCTCACTAGACTGGTCTCTGGAGTGATATGACAACCCTATGAGGCCCTGAGTAATTTGACCCAATTTTCTCTGGACTTAAGAATGAAGGCTCTCATTGAAACAAAATTCTGAAAGGGCTTGAATGGATAGATACCAAGGTAATTTGCCCCAGATGGGGAAAAAACCCAAGAACTTGAGGGCACAGTGTCAGGCTAAAGGACTCATTTAGGACACAGACAAGCTCCTATTTAAATTCTTATTGGTAACCTGAAAAAGCAGCCACACCCAGCCAGAAATACCCATTTTTCCCCATCTGTTATAAAATGATCAATTAAAAGTTAAATTATGATGTTTTCTGCTGGAAGTAGGGACTCTGTAGCTGACATGTGTTCAAATTGGGAGAATTTAGATTCAGAAATGAAAAAGCAAAAAGTATTTAAAAAATCCAGAAACTAGCCTGATCCTTCAACACTGCAGTCAGGTCATTTACAAGAATGAAGCAGAAACCATCCTGGGTCTGTCATTTAACAAGTTAAAAATGTTCAAACAAGTGCTTTGTAACATTCTATAGAGTCTGACATGGTTAGATTCTAAAAAGCAACCACGATAGATGAAACATTACCAAGAGTGGCCAACACATGACGTAGCTCTGCACCCATGACTGTGCCATTGCCTTCTTTATCAAAGACACGCAGACCCTCAACAAAGTCTTCAAAAGTTCCTGGTTCCTTGTTTCTTGCAATGTCCTGAAGCTTAGGAAGGAACTGCTCAAAATCCAGTGTTTTCACATTCATGTCTGAAAATGAAAAAGAAAAGAAGTTTACTTCTGTCTTTGTTCCCCATTACTTTGGGTTAGACATGCAAACTACCAAATTGTTGCTTGGTAACCAATTAAGGAGGAGACATGCTGGAACCCTGACAAAATGGAGCACAAAATGTCTATCCAATTAGATCAGCAGAATACGAAAAAGAAGCAAACTTTGGAACAAAACTATAAAAAGATTAACAAATCTATTCAATATGGATAAAGCACTTATTTTAATTAATTTATCCATCTAAATTTCCTTGTTGAAAAGGCAATTGGATCTGCTTCTAGAACTTTATCATGCAGCACACCACATCATAACTCACTGTCAAAAAAGTTGCTCTACTCAACTTTGTTTTATTAAAAAAAAGTGTGTATCATATCATTACCAACCCTCAGGCCAGTGGAAACAGATGAGGAAATCAATTGTCTGAACTCCACACAATTTTGAAAACCTATTGAATCTTCAACCTTCTGTTCCAAGGGGATCACCACTAGCTTCTGTGTATGACAGAATTCCCTTGTCCTGTGCAAGTCTCCTCAAAAATTTTCTCCCATGGCTTTAAACATCTCCTCTTCTCCGATTACAGCACCTTCTGGTCCTTACCTTCAGGCTTTGGGTTCCCAAGGACTTTTAAGACTTCAGCATTGCATGGATTCTGGCCAAGAGCACGCAAGACATCACCAAACTGGTTGTAGCCAATTCTACCTTCACCAATGCGGTCATAGAGGTAAAATGCCTCTTTGAATTCTGCAAAGAAAAAAAAAGTTACTCAAAGAATATGCAGCTTTAAAAAGGACAAACAAATTTCCTAGAATTAAGAGACTCAAAGATTAAGTGCATATGATTTTAGGACAGAGAAGAAATTGAATACAAAAACAATCCTGAATACAAACCTTTCAAGAAATAGAGAAAAAAAAAGGAGGGTGGTGGTCATAACAATGATTACCTGAGGAGAGACAGGATGTCCCTGACTAGTCAGGGACAGAATCTATTTGTTTAGAGAATTAAGAAAAATTGAGACACCATCACAATACTGGCTATTCACCTAAATTGACCAGCCAACTAGTGAGAAAGACATGGGATAAGATTTGCAAGAAAATCACGTAAAAGCAAAATTTAAGATAAGTTACAACTTTTCCTACAAATCAATGCATGTCTAAGAGGCAGCAGTTAGGTGTGGTCAGAGAGACCAGGTCACTTAGCCTTGCAAGCTGCCACAAATCAAACGCAGGAGGGAGAAACATGCTTTAAGTCCAGGAGATTGGCCTTATTTTGGCAAGAAGCAAGAATTGTCAGCACAGACTTAGCTGATGAAGGGAATTATAAACTGAGGCAAGGCACCTGAGACAGTCACTGCATAGCAAACAAACAGGAATATAGGAACCCACATAAAGATGGAGCTACTGTTGACTGTTCACTGAATTGCAATTCAATGGAGAGCATGATGAGATAAATATAAGTGGAATATTTTTCCCTGCAGTTTAAAAATAAGTTGCCTACATGAAGTAAAATGCTCGGCAAAGACAAAGCACTATTAAACTGCAGTAAGTTTCAAAACACTTCAGCTCAACTGGAAGCTTTCAGTCTCATGGAAGTGATAACGTTGTAAATAGCAAGAACAGCAGATGTTGGAGTCAGTCAATACAGTGTAGAGCTGGAGGATCAGGCAGCAAAGGGCCAGGAAAGTCGACGTTTCAGGCCTACCACGCAGTTTCAAGTTTTCCAGCTAACACAAAGCTTGCAACCATTGTGAACGGTGGGGAGCCTTCAACGCTAAAGGGACTCGTGAAGTACGGTGGTGGTAGTGTCCGTACCTCGGGGGTGGGGGGTAAGGTTGGTGAAATTAAACGCGATCAAGGCTTTCAAGAGGAAATGAAATGAAATGAAATGAACAACAATTGTAGGCCTGCGAGGGGAAAAAGGCCGAGCAATGGGACGGAGTTGGCTATGCTGTAACCATTGCATGAATGATTCATGCATTTCATGCTATGTAAATACTTCAGGCTTCAATCTCCTCAAGCAATCAATTATGAAGCGGCGAAGGAATGGATCAGTGAGCAACGGAAGTTAATGCGAGGTAATCAAAAAACTTAGACGTCGTGGTCTGGGCTTACAGCCGGTGAGATTGCTAAACCAGTAGACGCACTTGTGAGGAATGAGGGCTAGAGCCAGGTTGTCTACAGCCGTGTTGAGAGGGATCTTTGTCCTTATTTGGAGTTTGTACTATCAGTCTAAGGCGGACGGGGGAGGGAGCGAAAAGGCGCGGTTTCCGGCTTTCGTAGCAAGGAAAGCAAGGCTAGTCTTTTCGGGGAGGGCGGGTGGTGAGGAAAGCGAGATCAAGGTACAGCTGGGCCTTCATCAGTGACTTCTGGAGAGTTTTTCCTCCTCCATTGCGGGAGAATTAGCAAACTACTGCCGATATAGGTTCAGGCTAAAATCCCTTCCCATGGCCAATTGGAAACTGAAGACGGAAACTTACCGGCGATCTGATCCTCGGTGAAATCACACTGCAAAAGAAAAAAGACATAAAGAACAATGTTAGCAGCGAGGGGGGGGAAAAAAAAACAGAACCATATCCCACCATCAGCTACTCACCATCCTGTGTTCCTACTGTTGCTCCAAGTCCGCGTCGCTCCTTCCTTCTGTTTCTCTTTGTGATATTCACACCGGATATTGACAGCTCCTCCTCCAATCAGGGACCGCCCTTGTCAGTTTCTACACACTGACCAATGGGCCGGCAGTACTTCTGGAATGACTGGTATTCTTATCCCTTCTCCGTCAAAAGCACAAAATGGCCAATTCCGTTTTGGAAAAACGAACCTCCTGGAATTTTCAGCAAGTCAGACAGTACGAGAAAAAGAGGAGCCAAAAGTTTCAGGTTAATGGCCTTTTGTCGGAAGTATGATATCAGAGATGAACAGCCTCTAAGTAAGTCATGAGGTAGGGAAAAGGAAGGGATGAACAAAAGGCAAGAGAACAGGAGATAAAATAGATTAAATGAAACCAACTGAAGAATCAAGAGCTAGCGTAGGCCACTCAGCCCCTCGAGCCTGTTCTACCAGTCAAAAAGATCATAGATGATCTGATTGTAACCTCAAACCCACTTCCCTGTCCACAATCTATCCCCCCCCACCCCGCCCACAACCATCATATTTAACTTAGAAGCAAAGCAAATGGAGCTCATAATTGAAGACAGCTATAAAACAAAAATTGTATACTGGCCATATGAAGTCAAAACAGAATAGCAAATGACAAAAATAAAAATGAAAATGTAATTTTCTGAGCTTATTTTGGATTTCCAGCACCCACAGTATTTTGTTTTCACAAAAGGCCAACCTGCAAAACAGAACACTCCTATGGCCTGGGAACATGACCAGGAAAGGCAGGTAGACCTCAAAGATAGAGACTCCCATAAGACCATAAGAAATAAGAACTGGTGTAGGCCATTCAGCCTCTCAAGTCTGCTCCTCCATTTAATAGGATCATGGCTATTCCAACGTTTCTAATGTCCACTTTCCTGGCCTTTCCTCATAATTCTTGATTCCCCAACTAATCAACAATCTATCTATCTCAGCCTTCAATACACAAAAGATGCCCCCGCAACTCTCTGTGGCAAGGAGTTCCAAAGACTCACAAACCTCAGAGAAGAAATTCCTCCTCATCTCAGCCCCTGTTTATTCTGAGACTATATCCTCTTGTTCTAGACTCTCCATAAGGGGAAACATCCTCTCAGCCTTTGTCCTGTCAAGCTCCCTTAAAAATCCCTACATGTTTCAATGACATCACCTCTCATTCTTCTAAAC